GCATTACTTGATTTTCATATTGAATATTTAGTATATTTAAAAATTCAGTTAAATGTTTAATAGCAGAGCTTGGTTCAAAAATTGTATCTTTATATGATACAAATACATGGCCATTATAAAATGACCCAGAAATTTCATTAGGAATAGATATAAAAAAAATTATAGAGGGAGTTAAAGATAATTTTGAAAAATCATGATCAGCAGCTGCCAAAATACTTTCTGTTCAACTATTGAACATCGATTTCATATACTTGTAGAAACTGCAACATCTTCCCTGATAGGAACTTTATGCTTATCATCTGCAGAAATTAAACAAGTCCATTGACGGTATTTAATACAAAATTCTCTGAGATATTGGAAGAGTGCAGCACAATAATGCGCATCTTCACTATTTTTTCAAAGCATCTGACCCTGTACTTTAAATTTAACATTAAACCAACTAGTATAATATGCAACCCACATTGTGGTAGCATTCATAGGGCAAAATTGAAGGCGAATCAATTCATCGGATGGAATATTAATATCAGAAGGTAAAAGATCGCCATAATTAATTTTTAATCTTTCTACTATAGTTTCACAAAGGTCACGAATTGACAAGGCTAATGGCATATATAAAATAGTTCTATGTCACCGTTCATTTACTGCAAGACAGTTCTAAAGAAATAGATATTTACAACATAACATAATCAATATGAGTGACACCAAGGGAAAAAGCACTCTAATTATATAAAATTTATATAATTAGAGTGCTTGCATTACTCATATGGTAAGCAAATATAAAATATACCTGTTTATTAAAGTAGGCATCAGTTTCGTCCCAAAATGCATTAAATTTCGTTCCTTTAAATTCATTATTTGTTTGCAAGTCAAATACAATATTAGGATCTTCCAACATTAACATTAAGCATAACCTCTCTTTCACATCACGACTGATTGTATCTGAAGTTACCGCAGCATTACCAGTAAAATCAAGATAGAGCATCTGTAATACTGCTGGCATAACTTTCCGAATATAGAAATACTAAAACACAAAAATTATAATGATAATGTATACATTCAATGTTTTAAACATTATTTACATTATCTTATCTTATTAAGCATGTTCTTATGCATTTGTCATGTAAAGTAATGAGGTAATTCTTCGTGAATTCTAGCTAGCATACATGCCTTCAATGTTTTATATTGCCTATCATTAAGTACTTCATCATCTGGGACTCTCCATA